AATTATATATATTTAATTATTATCTTATTTTTAATATTATATTTATGAATGTATTTATATATAGAGTTGGGGGTATTTGAGAGTTTGTTAGTTTAAAAATAAATAATAAAAAAAAAAGAAGAAAAAAAAGAGGTTTTCACTTTCATCGATAGGGCCTTTTAATATCAAGGAGATAAACGCTATTATTCATGTCGTGTTATACGATCGACACCCCTTTTTCTTTTTCCGATACTTTCTTTCTTTCTTTCTATTCTCTTTCTCTCTCTCTCTCTCTCTCTCTATCTCTCTCTTGTCTTTTTTTTCACCTTACTTATACTCGATCGAAAGCAGCTCCGGGCTATTGAATCTTTTTTTTCGAACACAAGCCGATTCTTCTAGAAAAGCGTCTATTTTCGATATCGAATTCTTGTCGAGAGAAAAAAAAAACTGCGAACAATTTCTTTATCAAAACAAAATTTACTACTTTTTTTTATTTTTCACTTACAGAAACAAAATCATTTTTTTTCTTTCTTTTTCTTTTGTTATTAAATAATAAACTCATCACGTTTATTTGTATATCAATTGTAAATCAAAAATCTAAAAACTATTATTATATTATTATTTAAAAAAACAAAAACAATTTTCTCAATTAATTTTAATCGATTTAATTTCGTCGATTAAGCACTTTTATGGTTTGCGATAAGAAAAAAAGAAAAAAAAGAAAAGGACATTTTTTTTTTTCTACTATTGACCTAGTTTTCTTTCAGCAAACGCGTGGGTTTAAAATTACTCACATATAATTAAGATCGTATCGATGAATTTGACGAGCTTTAGGTGTGTGTATGTATATATATATATATATATATATATATATGAAGCCAACTAGCATTATATTATACGAGTATACAAAGTTCCTTACTTATTCTATGAAAACAAAGTAGATTTCATAGATTTCGAAGGAGATTGTAAGCAAAGTACTTCGAATATACACATAATACCGATATAATACCTGCATAATGATGACGTAATACTATTAATAACGAACAATTAATTATTCTCACGTAATTTATATGTAACACGACTCGACAATTATATATATATATATATATTTATTTAAGAGAGAAATGAAAAAGAAATAAAGAGAGAGAGAGAGTATAAGAATTTAATCTGCCAACCATAAGATTGAAATCATTCACATAATAAATCCACTCGCGTTTATATAATTTTTCATTTGAATACGCGAACAAATAAAAATAGGACCTATTGTCGTAAGATATGACGTCATAGCGAGATAAACGTCAACGATAAAAACAAGCATAGAATATTTATTAGATATTAATACTTTTTATATATTAATCAAATAGATTTTAAATATTCTTTTAATATTTTCTTTAGTATTTTATTATTCAATGTACCCCCTCTTATGTGTGTGTATATAAAT